AGAAGTGGCAAGCGAGCCGGGCCTCCTGGCCCTGTTCCACCAGTTGGGCCCTGTGCACTCCTCGGCGAACGGTTTGCTTCAGGTCTCCACCCACGTCCCCGTCTCCGTCTTGTGGACGCTTCACACACTCTGGCTTGGGTTTCTCCGTCGTGCTGTTTGACACTTCCCGTCGCTCTCTGCCTTGACAAGATAAACATGCTGAATGTTAAGCTGGGAAAATAACGCAGCAGCAGCTACATGAATGTACAGTGTAAAAAAAACTGCACAACATTTTTTCTAAATATCTCTCACAAAATTTGTTATTTTTAAATTATTTTTTATTAGTAGAGGGTTTTACGGCTTTTACTAGACTGTTGTAATTTGGAACAGATATAATTCTTTCCAAAGGAATTTGTTTGACATAAAACGCACAAAGAAGAAAGATATTTTCGAAAACGGAAATGGCTTTTTGAAAAACCACCTATAAATGCCAAATGCATCAAATTAAAAAATATTGTAAGGAAAGTCATGTAATGATTGGTTTGTTTGGGTTTTTTCTCATCCTTTTATTTTTTTAATCTAATCTTTCCATCACTGTAACCTTTAAACAATATCTATTTTCTCCTACAGAGTTAAAAACATATCTTTTTTAAATTTTGGAATTCGAGAACCAATGGTCTCCATTGGACTCGACCCATTTTAACGCGTTGTTCGTAATGCTCAGTGGTGGCCAAACACTAGGATCCTCTCAACCATGAGTGCTCAAAGCCAGGCACACTGTACACCTTACAGTGTGGATCTGTTTCTAGAGACAATAGGAGGGAGGAGTGATGTTGCCCAAGTAGACAGGATTTGTGGAGTTGATATAATCTGAAAGGTGAAAGTGGAACCAAATATCATAGAGGAAAAGTTCACGTTTTTCTTGAACACGTTGCTGTCCTCTGACAGCTTCGCGAACGCGAAAATGGTACAGTCGTACATGAAGATCTGCCTTGAAAATTAGGACCATTGAGATGAAGGAAAGTCATTGCTGCAGGCATTGTCTACGGACAGACGTCTCATGTGGGTCATCTGCTGAATTCTGTACCCTTGTGACGCTTAAAGGGGTGCGAACTGTATAATTTTGACCTGTAGTGGTCGTTTCGTCTGGGAATTTTTAGTTCTGATTCTCTACAGGTCCTAACAGATGGATCATTTCCACCCCTGACATCAAAGAAGGAAGGGGCACTTTAACATTATTCGGCATCTTGAGCGGAACTTACGACATCTCTTTACTAATCTTAACCATGATCTCAGCAGGGAAAGGAAACTTGAAAAAGCTACCTGTTGGACTGTTAGACTACTGCAGTTTGCAATATGGCGCAATCGTTGGGATTTTTAGGGGTAAGCCTAATGCGAACTCGTGAGTATGCTACAAAAATTTGGGACAGAGCTGAAAATGGGTTGTTTTATCACGGGCTATGTACAGCAAAACTATTCAGTGGATTTGTCTAAAATGAAAATCAGACAAATTCCTTCTGACTTCCAAATGTTGTGTACAGATTTGAAACTCAAACTTCACTGTGGAGGAAAATATTATCCAATAAAAGTTGTACATGTTGTTGTTGGGTTTTTTTTGGGGGATCACTCTGTACATTAGTTGAATTCACATGTGAAGAGAATTTTTATCTAGTACCTCCGTATTCCTCTGAGACGTTGTATCCCTCTCAGTCTCAGCCAGAATTGGCCCTGACGAGCAGAGTCGAGACACCCGATCCCTTAAATGATCTAAACAATGTCGCGTCACGCGTATAACCGCTGCAATTACACGATTTACAACGATGCTTTGTACGCTGCGGTCTGTTTTCTTGGAGTACAAGTCATTTCACTTTTTAGTTCTTTGACCCCCCCCCCCTCCCCCTCCAGTAGAGCACCTCTCTCTTTGATTTTGTTTGATTTTACCTCCCACAGTAGCAGAATCTCTACAGAATCGGGTGATCTTCTCTACTGGTGAAACAGCACAGAGCATTCTGGATATCCTATTAGAGACTACATACTTCTATGGATTACACCTTTACCACGAACCCTATCTCACCCCCCCCCCCCCCCCCCCTTTGTAGTGAGTAGGAGCAAAATTATTTCAAAATAGAATTGTATGAAGAAACAAACACGAAGTCTTGATTAGTGTTGGTGGCAACATCTATGTTATTCGGCAAAGGGAAACGTTGTCCTCCACCAGGAATGTACTTGATCTTGTATGCGCCTTAAGGGCCTCTTCTCTCAGATGGACCTTACCTAGGCCACGATGTCACAAAAAAGCTGGAATTATTCTTAAGAAATAGGGGTAGGATGTCTAAACTTACTTTTATTCTCTAACGTATGTAATGGCAAAAGTCGCTTTATTTTTCGAGCACCTTTTTTATTGTATATAAACCTGGGGATGTATTCATTTCTTAGAAGAAAAAAAAAAAGTACAGAAAAGGTCGCACGTTTACTTAAACAAAACGATATCGTTATATTTTCCCATCTACTGCTACAATCA